TATCTTTCATGCATATTTTATGGTATGTTTTTCTTTTGTGCAGCATGTATTCGTACAAAGGCCCATCTATGGACGAGGTCATGAATGCCGTGGTATACTATTGTTTGAATAAACAAAGTAAATATAAAGGGCTAGAGAGCTCAAGCATGCTGAGGATATCAACTGCAGAACTTTTCTTAAGGGCCAGAGGGGAAAACAACTTTGAGGATATTTGTATTCATGCACATACTCAACAATAACAGAGAACATCCAAGACTGCATTACAAGCAAGCACTCTACCTGTCAGGCAACTGTAAATTACAGGGCAGCTGTAACGTCATGAAACATATTGTGTCTTTGTCTGAGCAACTATACGCACCTGACAGACTGATCAAAGGGCTGCACTGCTGACAACACAAAAACTTGTCTTGAATGTCAAGTAGTGATGGTTGTTTTTCCAACCGCAAGCCCTAATACTCAGCGACCATCTCCAGTCTACTGCATGAGTCAGATCCGTTACATACCCATTGTATTCAGTCCGCAGACTCACTTTGAGAGAGCTGTTGATGTAATAATCCCAATAACTGATCCACTCTTCCAGGGAATTAATATATCACGGCAACTTTCATCGCCTGCAACAACTGCTCAGCGAGCTTCAAGTGCAGCACTGTGATATTACCCAAATATACCTGTCTTCATGTCTATATAAGTGGAAGCACTTGAGATCTGTTCAAGGAGACAACTTTATTGATTGCATCATTTTTAGGAGTCTCTCTGTGCCCGGCAGGATTCAGTAACTGGGGCATAAAAACAGCCAAAGATGCAAAAATAGACCAAAGATGACTACAATTGTGTGCCAGTTTCTGGGCCTCAGACAGACATCCAACAGACATCCTCATGACGTTTTCTTGGGTGAGACAAAAGCACAGGGGGCATTGTCTTCAAGATCAATACTGAACACAGAGGTCAGCTCAGCCCTCGGGGCTGAAGCCTCCTTCAAATTGAACTTGTAAGGTCATGTTTTCAACACCAACAGTTGAGAACACAGTTGGCTTTGTGTCGCAGTGGTTTACCGCATGAAAACACCGTTGTTACGCAACTGACGAAAATGGATGTCACTTTTTTAAATATGGAGAATGATTTTGTGTATATTGTATTATGTTTTGTTGCCTTTCAATGTCAGACTTATAAACTAGAAAAGAAAAAGACTACATTCAACGACATGCTGCATATTTAAATCCATTGCACTACATTACATCATCACAAAATCCCCACCTGTAAAGTTATGAATAACATTACAACACATCACTCAAATGAACTTCAAATCAGAAATTGATCCTTTAACACAAAGTATCTGATTAAATTATTAACACCAGGAATGGATCCAATCATTCCCAGTGTACTAAAGTAGTCACTACTTGTAATTTGGATATTTTTGAATGAAACAGAAGGGAAACAAGATCCTAGAGCTCTTATTTCTGAAAAGTCTGAACTTGCCAGAAGAAAGTCAACGCAAGCGTGGAGGAAGACAGGCCATGTTTTACAGGAGCACAAAGGGGGGTCATGACCCAAATCCCAACATCCTCTTACTGGATAAACAGGTTTTTATTGCTGTGGTTTTACCAACAGACACACAAGCACACCTACACACACACCTACACACACACACACACCTACACACACACACACACCTACACCCACACACACACCACACACACACACACACACACACACACACACACACACAAGCTTTCCGGCCTCTTAATAGCCAGCAGTTTAAAACTACTAGCCTAATTAAGGTTGTGTCAGTTGCAATTAGGTTTAGAAGAAGTAATTATGCAACATTTGTGCACCCATATCCTAAAACCTCAGTGTGCTTTAGTCTCCTCTCCTGTTAATGTGTTTAAAGGCTCCCTATAAACAGCCAGACCCGGGGTCAGTTTTAAAAGATATTTTAAGAAGAGATGAGATTGTAAGTGCATCAGCTATTTTGAACAAGTGCAAGCTCGATTTGGAAATACGGAGCACTGACTGGATGGTCTGATGAACAGGGAGGGAATGACTTTACAGAGAAGTGGAAAATCTGGAACAACAGATTTACACATTAATCACAGCCATCTACTAACGGATGAATCTCCCTTGTCAACAAGTTACACCCAAAGAAAAAATAAACTTGTGTCTAAATACAACCGATGTATTAGGGATTTAGAGCATAACCAAATGTGAGGCTTTAAGTAGAAGTACTGCATGTGTGTATATGTGAAAAAAGTTGTATTAAAGCCTTTTGTGTCTGTGAGAGATCAGCGTCTGTTGGGGCTGAAAGCTACAAGTTTGAAAATGTAAAAAAGAAATTGAGTTAGAAAGAAAGAATGAAGTGAGATTACCAGAACTCTGCTTGAGGCTATATTAGCTGCGACTAACATAACACACCTGAATTTCAGACCAAACTGTCAGCGGTTGAGCTGCATTGTGGGTAATGTGAGCAATGCGGGCAGCAGGTTTTTAAGCATGTAGTAAAAAAAAAAAAAAAAGATGATATCTCTGGTTCTGCTGCATCGATTTTCATCATTTTTGTTTTAAACGGTCCATCATGTGTGCGTTAATGTTATAGGAGCTCGATGCTGAAGGACTTTTTCAAAGAATGCAACGATACACAATCATACTCTACTTTTGCTTGCGGATTTTGACTTCCAAACTAAATCTGTAAGATGCATATTCTCACGCAAATATATGCACATAATATTAAACTGCTTATAAACCCCTTTTTCCAATTGATAGCATTACCATATCCAGGATATGTATGCAGTAAAAAACAACAACAGGGCAACAAGAGGAGGAAAACATTGGAAGTCAGCAACAAAATAGACAGCCCATTATCAAAACTCATAGGTGCCAATTCACAAAAAAGTGATATACGAGCCCACTGTAGCATTACAGAACACTGTGCTGCTCCAATCAGCCTCTCCTCGACTGTCAGTTCAAGGGTAAAAGCTACAAACTGAGCACTTACATAACAAACTGCTATTCCAGAGAAGGCCGGAATCAGCACAATGTTTGGAAGTCAGTACAATGCTGAAAACAGCAAAATCCGATATTTTTATTCTCATTTAGACTTCATGAATACACCCGATGTACTGTTACACTCAAGGGTGAAAGAGTCATCCTCTTGACGGTTTGTCAAATTTGTCAAAAAACACCAAGTGGAATATTAAAAAAAGCTTCTTTTTAAACTTAATAAAAACACCAGCTTGCCTGCCTTGACGCCTGTCTTATGCACACATGTAAATGTGTTTTTGTTTATGCGTGTGTTTGAGATTCCAGGCAGGCTGGCAGACAATGAGTGGAAGTGTTCCCCCATCCACTGCGGCGTTTAACTGCTCAAACAGACCAAAGTGAACGAGGTCTTGTTGTCCCAACAATAAGGCCTTGTGTTCCCTGAGCATGAGCGTAAGGAGGTCAATGTGAAACAATAACACGCTGCTTTACGTCTCTGCCACGATTCAGCATCAATTCAGCAGCTTTTGTTTGATTCTCAACCCAAACTCACAAGCCAGCAATTACTGAGCTACTATTTTACTTCTACAGAAAAACACACTCCAATCTAGCCAGGGCCGAAATCACTCCCAATGGCAGATGAGTTGCTATTTTAAAAGCAGCAGCAGAGGTTTGAATGAAACAGTGCGTAGCAAAGGTGTCTGACGTCTGTGTGGAGCACCTGTCAGCCTGAGCAGGTGTTTTGTCTGACTGGCTGCCTGGCTCAGTCCTCCACAAACACAGCTTAAAAATAAAGTAGGAGTAAAGCCGACATTAGACGCCAACGACTTATCTCGTCTCTGCACATACCACGCATTCCTGCGTTTGTTTTTGCAATAAAAGAAAATTAAAAAACAAGGTGTAAGGCAACCAAACTGCCCGTCACGATTCCACTGGGAACTTCCTCACAGTGAAATCAGGAACAAATGACCCATTTCCTCAACAGGACACTCAACATCTGCAAGCGTACCCTCGCTAACAGAGCAGAGACACACTAACACACATAATACACCGAGCTGCTCATGTGGGAAATTCTATTTTTACCACCAGTCAGGGCGAGGCTTTGCCATACAGCACACAAAGTAGGGAAACTATAACAAGGGAGGGAGGGAGGCAGTCGAGGGCTGTCAGAGAACAAAGCGGAAGTGTCCTTCCCCCTGATGACCTGCGAGTTAAAAGGAAGAACACAAAGTGCTCTCTGTGCACATACAGTGCGATGCAGCTGTACCTCTCTCCCTCTATCACTGTGGGAATTACCAGTCGGCCAAAATACCTGCAATGACCACTGCTCGAGAGTGGTGTATATGTGGATGACCGTCCTTATTTTTCACCGTCCATTCAATATGTTTGGACTCTATTTACCTCATGTTGTTTCCCAATGAGTCTCCTGTTTTTGTCTTGTCTAGCAAAGGACATCTATTGCATGTCGGCGTATCCTGGAAGAGGGATCCCTCTGTTGCTCTTTGAGGTTTCCCTCTTTTTTTCCCCACTAAAGGGTCTTTTTTTGGAGAGTGTTTCCTCATCAAATTGAGGGTCTAAGGATAGAGGGGGGTTGTACAGACTGTAAATATATCTAAGGAAAATTAGTAATATATGATTTTTAGATAAATATAACTTAATATACCTGCTCTTATTTGGCTGCTTGTTGAGGGGATGGAGCAAATTCAACTTCTTAATGAAAACTAGTGTACAATGGCACAACTATAGATCCAGGACAGTAATAAAAGCCCTGAACAATAGCTGGAGCTGGCTAGAGTAGGAATATGGAGCATGAGGGATGGGTAGAGCTGCATGGAGGACAGATTCATGCAAACTGAATAAAAGGTGACCTACAACTGTCCCCTAACATAAATCTCTATAATTAAAAATTATCCTCATCCCATTGTGTAAATATAATGGAAGGCTCTTCTAAGATATTTTATTTTAAACATATGGATATTAAGGATTAATGCTTCTGGGGGAATACAATCCCAACCAGAGTCACTCACCTCCTCCAGGGCAGCCACTGTATTCCTGCAGTGGGACATCCTGGTGGTGAAGTTAGAGGCGGTCGGCGATTTATAATCTTCATTAGTCTCTGCCACAAACTCTGAAACTGTGATTTGGTCCGGCATAATTAATCCCTTTTGCTGATAAGAAGAAGCAGAAGCACTTTCTCTGTAATCTCCCCTTACTTTCTGGTTTGTACAGTTTTAGGACAGAAAAGTTCACAGCAGCAGCAGCAGTGGTGGTGGTGGTGGTAGTAGTGTCTCTGAAGGTCCCCGCGGGTAGTAAACCATCTCTGGGTGTGTTTATGTCATTCCCTTGTTTAGCTCCCACAACAATCCGGTGCAGCGGTGTTTGCACGCTGGCTCAAGGAGTTGCAGCGTCGCACCGCGCTTTGCTACAAGGTGATGTAGTAGGTTATATCCCTCCTGGCTTTCAGCCCACTACTCTCTCCCTCTTCCCATTCACTTCCACCGGTCCCCGTCCGTCTGGTCACAGGAGACAGTGAAGCTTCCTCGGCGAGAGTCTGCTGGCTTCCCTCGGTGTTCCCAATCCTCAGACAGAGCAAAGGGGGGGAGGTGGACAACTTCTTCCTCCTATAACCCGGGCAAACAACAGCCAGGCGTTTTCAACGGGAGCGCAAGAAATTGACAAAGGTAGAGGAGGGGATTCAATGGACGCGCAGCAGCCAATAGGGAGCACCGGCTAGTAATTGAGAGCCAATCAGGATCCACGGAAGGCGTGAGCTCATGCTGCCTTCAAGTGCTCCTCGTAAACTATTAGATCCTCTTAGTTATGAGTCCTCGAGTGCCTCAAAGTTTTCTCCAGTCAAGTGAAATCGTTTTAACACTTCATAAAAAGGGGTATTTATGTGTATGTAATGCTATTTAAATGTAGAAAACATTATCTCACAGTGTCTCAATAACATTTCCAAACACTGCTATTAGTGTGGGACATTTGGTTTATTACATTAAATCAGGAGTGGCAAAACCTTTTTAATCATGTACAGCCAAAACTGAAAGATAATGTTGGGTCACGGACCAAAAAGAAAACACCTATAGTATTGTATTGTTAAAATGATCCCAAGTTCCCTTAATTGACTGACTTCCTGTGCAAAGTGTCACTCTGCCTGCTATGCCCAGATTATGAAAGATAATGAGGAATCCTATATATTTAAAGAGCATTTTTTGCCTCACAATTTATAAAACTGGGATTTTATATTCTAGGGCAACCCTGCATTAAATGCATTTTTTTAAAACATAAAAAAGAGCAGATCTGTAAAAAGAAAAAACTGTTAAATTATTCAACATAGTTTATCAAGTCTTGAAGATTAAATGTACTACAAGGAGTTTTTTGGTTATGAAACAGTTTAATACTGATGCCTTTATATGACCTACATAAATAAACAAGACCATCGGCAAGAAGCTGATTTCTTTATTGTTATTCTAACTGTTTGCCACCAGGTCAGATTTGGCCGGATTCCCCTTGAAATAAATTAAACAAGGCGATGGAAACACTATCGATTTTTGTCCACGGGGGACTGCCAGAATCAACATCAACAGATAAGGGGTTTAGTGGCTTTAAGAAAACACATGCCAGACTAAATTAAAAACTCTTCTCATTAACTGTTTTCCATTATTTCTCTCTTGTAGTGACATGTCTTATAATGGTTGGGTTCATGTTTTAGAGTACTGACCAACTGGTTTCATAGTATTATACTTACAGTGTATATAAACAACTTTGTAATTTTTCTCCAGTACCCTATTTTATCATTGGTTTCTTGTGACCATCTAAATGGAGACAATGATGCCCAATGGGGATCATCACACTTTTAGCTCTGTGTTTAGTTTAAATATAACTTTGTTGCAGTTATGATCAGGTGAAGAAGGTGTTAATAACTGATTGATGGATCTTGTTAGCAGCAGTAGGTTACAAATCCTCAGAGTAAAAAACTTATTTTCCAAACATTGCTCCACATGTGACACCTATGTTAAATGGAGAATTGAAACATAACTCACATAAATGAGACAAAATGCTAAACAAAATAGTAAAATGCATAATTTCTTGCCACAAATCCGACATCCTCCACACTCTAAGAATCACTGATGCCATAAACATTTTCCAAATCCATTTTTCCATTGTTTTGGCAATTGATTGATCCAGTTCAGTACAAACTGTATGTAATCCAAATATTTCTGACAGCACTTAAAAGCAGCATCTACATTACAGCACCACTAGCAGTCTCTTTCTTAAGGTGGAGAAGCACTCAGCTGTGTGAAAATGATGCAGTATCACAGTGGGAGTGGGGTTTAGTGTGTGTTTCTTTGTAAATGTCTGTAATGTATTTTTATGTTCTATGTGAAAGATCTGGACACACATGCTTTGCCCAGGTGTAATATGTAAATCAAATTACAACCATAGGACTCCATTAACATTTTATCTGTTGTAAATTGAAAATACCATGTAAATATAAAGCCTAAACATTCAAGGATCGGCAACAGCAGTGATGCTGTGAAGGCCACCCTCCTTTACAGTGATATCAAACAATGTGTGTTTTCAAGATGCTTTTGGGACGGCAGTAGCTCAGTCGGACCAGGAGGTACAGAGCGTGGACTGATAGCTGGAGAGAGGCCAGTTCACCTCCTGGGTACTACTGAGGTTCCATTGAGCATTGTTTGTGTGTGAATCTGTGGCTTGTGTTTGTGAATGTAGGAAAATAACAACAGAGGGAAAAACTTAAATTTCCCCAAGGGGATTAACAAAGTAGTTCTTCCTCTTCTTTATCTTCAAATGAGCAGCTAGCAGCGTGCTGTCCCCGTCATAATGTCAACAAAGTGCTCATTATCTGCATCTCCTTCATTATTCATTTAATGGAAATTACTTGTATCAATACAGAGACCACAGCAACACAAACCTGCTGCCTCGTCATGATGAATGAACCACTGCATGATGCTGTAACCTTCTGTCTGGTGAGGAGCATTTTTTTACATGCTGTTAATAGATTGAACATTTATCTAGACAGCTCACTGGAGATATTTTTTTTGTTACACCCCTGATAAAGAGAGAGGGAACTTTTGTGATAAGCCTCAGCAGGATCAGCACTGATGGTGGTAATGAGCCCCGATAGTGTGCCATCACATGTATCAGATAAAAAGCTTAATTAGGCCAGTAATGAACACAGTATCAACTTTCTATGTGTGTGTGTGTGTGTGTGTGCTATCAATGATGTATTATGTGTATGAAAGAAGCTACAGCGTTATGTCCTATGAGAGAATATGTTTTGTTGTTTTTGTAGGCCGCAGACAAGAATAAATGTGATTAAAAAAGACTTGTATCTTCCGAAATCCTGTTGGGAAAAGGCAGAGGAGAAAGAAAACATTCATTAGGCGCTGTCTGAAACTTGTGAAGACTTCTCTCCCATGCCTGAATTTCTGTGAACAGGAGCTTGAAAAAACAACAGTGTCTGCTCCCAGAGCGCTCGCGTTTTTCCTGGGCTTTGGGATGAAAAATCTGCTGATGTTTCCCAGCTCATTCAGCCCCGGCAGGACAGCTACCGGTATAAATAGTATCACAGCGGCCGAGGCAAAACCCTGGGCAGCCTTTAAATCACAAACTGGGCAGTGTTCACACATTCTTTCAGCTCGGCAGCGTCTCCTGGCAAGCTGCTAAATGAAGAGCTTGAGACCCAGGCTGACCCTGACTGGCTACTCAGGCCTCAACTCCCTTATGAAATGAATACACACACTCCCAGCGAACATCTGCTATCCAGAGACAGAGCAGCTCAGTGAGTGAGGTCAGCTGAACCAAACAACACCAGCCTTCCTCCTCGCCACCACATGGCTTTATATTTTCAGTGCCATCTGCCTTTCTAAATGAAGGATTTATCCTTTAAATCAAGACCAAACCAACCTAAAAATGTCTCAAATGTTAGTGCTGCATCATTTGGATTTTTCCCCTTTCTACTGCTGAAGATCTGCACTGGAAACCAAGTAGGATCATCCAGCAGGTACAGGTTGGGAACGTAAAATTGAAAGCACATTGTTTTCTATTTTATGGGACCTGGAAAAGCACAACCATGTCAGCGAGGGATCATAAAAATGCAGCTCAAGGAAACACTGATAAAAATGTACTGTGTCATGAATGTAGCCTTTGGATAAATAATCCATACTCTACTTTTATTGCATCACTTATATTCACCAAAGCCTCATAAAGCTTCAATTTTTTTAATTTTACAAGCCAAAGCTGTCAGCCGCTTTATTAAACAGAACAGAAGCCTCATTCAGCAGCAGCGCCCATCCTCTGTATAGACCTTGTTTGCATGCAAACAACTTACAGCCTTGAGGAACAAGTGAGAGTGGCAGTAGTTGGATGTGCTGGGGTCACGGCTGCGGTATATGAACATCTTCAAGTGATTTAGTGAGCCACGAAGCTAAGAAATATCCAAAATATTCGCTGCTTTGGTGTACTATGTGCTATTTTCACTTTCCTTTAAAACAAAGCTGATTTGGAGATGAAAAAACCAAATGAAAGCAGGCAGCTGCAGACAGAACAATAGCCAAAGCAGATGTCATACTGTACTGAGACCCTCTTGCTTGCAATTTGTATTTCACTAGAACAGAGCACAGGGTGTGTCAGCACACAAACATCCAATATAGTGATTTGGCAGACTACATGTCATAGCAATAAAGTGGACTGAGGTTTGCGTTGGAGTCACTTTTTCCTAACTTCACTGCCATGACATCATGATTGTGTAACAGGTGGGATAACCTCACAGTCCAGCATCTTATGTTTCAAATAAGTGGCATGAATGACTTCTTTGTTTAAAATAATTAGCAACTAATTCTAACCATTTGGCAGCTGAAACTTTCCAACACACAAGTGGATGAAATGGCATATTCTGGGCCAAGCTCAGGTCCACTACTGAGACACGGGGTACTTATCTCAGCTTTTCATATAGATCATAGATCACATTACGACATAAAAACTGCATTAAAAAAGAGCTTGTTACAAAAATATGGTAGCTGCACATAGGGATGAACTGAACAAGTAGTGCCTGGTGAACCTGAGCAATAGCGGCACACTGTCGGACTCCCGGTGGGAGAGGGATGAGGAGGAAAGGGGAGGGGAAGGGCAAAGGAACAAGGGGAGAGAGAGGAGTGCTGAGGGGAGGGTAGTGAACTGTAACGAGCCAAGTCTTTTCTCACAAACTCTCAGTGTTCTTGGTTTGAACCAAGAGTGTTTGTTTGAATGGATGCTCAGTCCAGGCACGGCCTTAAAGAGAATGAAGCTGAAACATATAAAAGCAAATTATACAGGATTTGGTTTACCACCATATAGAACCGTTTTTGTAGCTACAGGCCAGTGTGCAGTGTATTTCTGTGATTGAAATGCTACTCAACATGTTTTCAGCTCTATTTGTAGGTATTTCAGTCACACGACACTCTCAAAAATGGGAATAGAGAATAGAAGCCTCACCAAACACACAAAAACCTGAAAACAAAACTATGTGCAAGTTAGGACCTGGGTGTATCCAGCTTAACACTTAAACTTCCTGGGACAATTGGCCGTTCACTTCCCTAAACACCTTATGATTGTCAGCAAGTCCGACAATATTTCCAGCACGAAGTTGTGTGTGTGG